CTGGAGATAAGGGAGAGTGGGAGGACAGAGAGATAAGGGAAAGGATCAAACACTCTTCCCTCCTCTTTTCCTCCTCTCCGGTTCCTGCCGGGAGCGACAGGATCCCAACGCTCCAGCCCGGGCTCCAAGAGCAGGAGACAGGCAGAGGTTTCATGATGGATCTCTCTTATTCCTGCCAGAAAATCGAGGGTTTCCATGTTTTCCAAAGATATCAGCCCTGACAGAGCGAACTCACACGTTCTTATTCAGTGCTGAGGCTGAAGAGTCCCGGGTTTGTCAGGAGATGTCCAGGAGATGCCACGGGAATTCTGAGCACTAAGTGGAAGTGTCCAAGGCCAGGCTGGAGCAACCTGGGCTAGTGGGAGGTGTCCCTGCCCATGGAACTGGATGATCTTTCAGGTCCCTCCCAACCCAAACCATCCTAGAATTCCATGATTCTCTGATTCCAGGGTCTGGCTTTGCCCAGGCTGCCTCATCTCCCACATCCCCCTGCCCGGGTGCCCAGCAGAGCTCCCGGTGCCCAAACTCTGCTGCTTTCCCTCCTCCACTAAACTCCCTGTTTCTTTTCCAGTTTTCCCAACCAAGCTGGCTGCAGTGGGAGATGATCCTGGGCAGGTTGTGTGGAGAGGAGGAGGAAAATATTGCTCTTTTCTGGTGTCACACGGGGTGGCACCGACTTGTCGGGTGACAGAGAATCCTCCCCTGCAAACGGCCCCTCATGGCCCAAGCAAAGAGATTTCGGGAACAGACCACGGCCCTGGAAAACCCAACTGGCCAGGAAAACATGGAAATAGGAACAGCTGGGCTGCAAGACCCAATTCCCACCTGGCATCAGTTCATGGAGCCTTAAAATTCACCATAAAAAAGCCTTTTGCCCCTTTCCTGGCTCTGTCCAAGGGGCAGAGCACCTGGACCTGGATTCCCAGGAATATCCATCCCCACAAAGACAATGACCCTGAAAAGCCACATGAAAAGGGTTTTTTTTCCAGGGATTTTAAGCTTTTTACATCTCCTTGCCCTTTTGGTGGGGGTGGAATTTCTCCCTGTGGCTGCTGCAGCTTCTCCTGGTCATAACCACCAAACATGTGGCACAAAATAAAAATTCCCAGAAAATAATCTACTGTATTCGCTGGGGATTTTCACTCCCAGTTTCCATATGTAATCCCCCCTGGGACAGTGTTTCACATCCAAAGGGGTTTGGATTTGGTCACATCTCAGGGAGCAGAAGAGATCCCTCGGTGTGAACGGAACAAGTGCCCGGCTCAGCTCAGCCTGACCCTCTCCAAGGACCTGTGAGGTGTCAGGAATTAAATACAGAAATTAAATATATCATTAAATAACAATAAAACATATAAATATAAATACATAAATACATATAGAAATAAATAATTAAATACAGAAACGCAAATATCTATTTTATAACTGAAACAGTGATGGGTCACAGCAGTGCAAACACTGGGAAGGAAGGAATGGCAGGAGGGAGGAAGGGAGGAAGAAAAACTCATTTTAAACTCCACTGTTGTTTCTTGCTTTGGACTCCCTCAAGTAGGAGTTTGATGTGGATCAAAAAGGTTTCTAATGAAATCAGGGCCTAATTAATCAAATGGTGACCACCCCAGCTGATGCTTTTTGGAAATTGGTGGAAGAGACCAAATTAAGCCAAACTATTA